AAAATCTGATTTTATTTGTAAAATACCCTTTTCGAGTTATTTACGGTTTTGCCACCGAAAGAAATTTCATCGTTAAAACCTCGTTATAATTCCGATTCAAACCTACCGCCTGTCCACGAATTCATCTCAGAACCACCTACGCAACCAAACCACTTGTGGTCCCAAAATCCTTCCGGACAAGAAAAGGACCGAAAGACCCCACCCCGAGGGTAGTTTCGTAATTTCATAGTTTCATTGAGTTTTTCCATTCGCATTGGAAAGTAAACGGAGTCGGGGTGTTACAACGCTGGACCTGTTGCGCATCGTTTTGCGGCCTTATCTGCTGGGCCACTTGAACGGGGGGTTCGGCCGTTGCGACCGAGCTGGGCGGCACTAGATACGCATCGTAGGTTTGACCGGGGTGCGCATGTGTTGCTGTTAGAATGGCCGAACCGTATTGAAAGTGAGAGCCTGACGAAAATAACAACGCCTGTAATGGTGAAACGGTCGGATTGCTCTGACCGTACTGCTATGACGAGGTAGCGGTCACGTTGCTTGGGCCAGGATGGGTCTGGACGGCCACGGTGTGAACTGGGTCAAGTTGCTGGACCGCGGAATGCATTGGGCTGCTTTGCCCCAGTGATACGGCCAAAGCATGGAGTGGGCCGTACCCTATTTCTGGTGGGCAGGTCGGTCCAGGATTTACCCATGTTGGCTGGGATTGCCCCCAGCTATTTGTCAGCGACTGAGAATGCTGGCCGTAGCCTGACGCTTGGGTGCGGGCAGAGGCGCCGAGGCTGCTGCTTTCGCCGTAGGGCTCAAACCTCTCGCATTCTTGGCTTCTCTGTCCGGCTTTGGGAGGCGTCCGGGATGACGTTACAGGCATCCTCTCCTGAAAGAGCGTCCGTAGCTCTGAGGAGAATCTGTCCATTCCAGCCATAAAGGATGTCTCTATCCTGTAAGCCTGCTTAGCCATCAGATCTTCCACTACTGCTTGCTCTCCCATGGACTCGGCCGCACGATTCGTCGTTATTGGAACGCTGGCCGAGATTCTGACCGCATGTTCGGTCTCAGTGATAGTGATTAGTGAGGTGGACTCAGGAGCCTCAGAAGTCATTTCGACTGTTTTATTTTTGAGCTTTGCCGGTGCCCTAGTTTCCACCATGAGTTTTTGACAAGAGTCCCACCGGGCGTGCCAAAAGTGTTGGCTGCGCAAATCTCACGGCCTGGTGCTCCGGGGCGAGGGGATGTGCATTAACACGTGACGTCCTTCTTTTGAATGCGGTGCGGTTGTGCGCTGGCGTGCCAGCACGGTCTACCGTGCG